CCGAAATCTTAACTCTTCGATATAACTCCCCCTGTAATAACTCTTTGTTTAGCTGTTCCCAGTGGATTTACCATTAACTTAAGGTGGCTCCTGACGATTTTCTGAACTATGGAAATAGATAAATTAGTTTTTGGTGAATCTAAGTGATTTGCGAGTTGTGAAGTTGCAAGTTGCAAGGTCTGAGTAGCGAGCTGGGATTTGCAAGCAGCATTTAATCCATCGAATAACCCTAAATTTAACCCATTCTTCCCTCTGCGTAAGCTCTTGCAAGGCGTTTGTAGCTTTAATTAAATAACTTGTCAAATACGCAAAGGTCAAAGTATCAATTTTTTGTTGTTGTTGGTTTGAATGTTGTCGTTCAGTCGTCTTAGTGCACAGTTTCTTGTCCGCCTTTAAAATTTCGAAATTTCGTTGGAAGACTTTCTGCTGGTTCTTATGTGAAGCCAATAGCAATGATTTATGGTGACGGCTTGTGACGTTTTCTATTATTTTTTATTTAATTCAGGCCTAGGTTTACTGCTTTTTCCTATTGTGACTGAACACTTCGTTCAAAACAGTCATGTTCAAAATTCATTGAAGACCATTGTCTTCCAAGTTTTTATTGGCATATCACAGGGCATAGTAGCGAGGGGCCAAGGGCAACGAGCCCTACCCCGAATATATAACAAGGGTGTAGGGACCATCCATTTGAGGATATTTGGATTTATCGTCATAGTATTCGAAGATTGAAGCTGCTTCCTACGCCCCTGGCATATCCTGCATATGTATCCTTATTCAATATTAAACAAGATTTAAAAACAAAAAAGTCTGCGCCACTGTAAGCGTCGTTTTTCGTCAACATCGTAACAGGGGCATACATTATTGCACGGGGCTACCGGGCTATGTCCAAGTGGTTGGGGACGACGGTGTGTACGGCTGTGTGACGCTGCGTACGGCTGCAGTGTGACGGTGTGTACGGCTGTGTGACGGTGTGTACGGCTGTGTGACGCTGTGTACGGCTGTGTAATGCTGTGTACAGCTGTGTGACGCTGTGTACGGCTGTGTGACGCTGTGTACGGCTGTGCGACGGTGTGTACGGCTGTGTGACGCTGTGTACGGCTGTGTACGGCAGTGTGACGGTGTGTACAGCTCTGTGACGGTGTGTGACGGTGTGTACGGCTGTGTGACGCTGTGTACGGCTGTGTGACGGTGTGTACGGCTGTGTGACGCTGTGTACGGCTGTGTGACGGTGTGTACGGCTGTGTGACGCTGCGTACGGCTGTGTGACGGTGTGTACGGCTGTGTACGGCTGTGTACGGCTGCAGTGTGACGTTGTGTACGGCTGTGTAACGGTGTGTACGGCTGCAGTGTGACGTTCTGTACGGCTGTGTGACGCTGTGTACGGCTGCAGTGTGACGGTGTGTACGGCTGTGTGACGGTGTGTACGGCTGTGTGACGCTGTGTACGGCTGTGTGACGGTGTGTACGGCTGTGTGACGGTATGTACGGCTGTGTGACCGTGTGTACGGCTGTGTAACGGTGTGTACGGCTGTGTGACGTTGTGTACGGCTGTGTGACGGTGTGTACGGCTGTGTGACGTTGTGTACGGCTGTGTAACGGTGTGTACGGCTGTGTGACGTTGTGTATGGCTGTGTGACGTTGTGTACGGCTGTGTGACGGTGTGTACGGCTGTGTGACGCTGTGTACGGCTGTGTGACGATGTGTACGGATGTGTGACGGTGTGTACGGCTGTGTGACGCTGCGTACGGCTGTATGACGGTGTGTACGGCTGTGCGACGGTGTGTACGGCTGTGTGACGGTGTGTACGGCTGTGTGACGGTATGTACGGCTGTGTGACCGTGTGTACGGCTGTGTAACGGTGTGTACGGCTGTGTGACGTTGTGTACGGCTGTGTGACGGTGTGTACGGCTGTGTGACGTTGTGTACGGCTGTGTAACGGTGTGTACGGCTGTGTGACGTTGTGTATGGCTGTGTGACGTTGTGTACGGCTGTGTGACGGTGTGTACGGCTGTGTGACGCTGTGTACGGCTGTGTGACGATGTGTACGGATGTGTGACGGTGTGTACGGCTGTGTGACGCTGCGTACGGCTGTATGACGGTGTGTACGGCTGTGCGACGGTGTGTACGGCTGTGTGACGGTGTGTACGGCTGTGTGACGCTAGCTGTGTACGGCTGTGTGACGGTGTTTTCGGGTGTGTAACATCCGAACGGCTGTGTACACGGGTTTGATCGGCTGTATACGGGCCTGTAAGGCTTTGGGTTGTCTTTTAGTCTCTTAACGACTTAATTTTCTATTTACAATAATGAATTGTGACGTGTGACTGTATGTGACCCGTCACAACTTCTTCGTGGAAAATTCCAAAAACTAAATCGTGCATGGTATATTCTAAGAAGAAAATAGTCATCACAAACTTCATATTCTGGCTGGCTTTATATTTTCTCTTCAAATGGCACTTCAGCTTTGAACACAGATTTGTTTAATTAACATCACTGATTTGAGAATACGATGAGCATCTGCCATAAATATGTTGACTTTTTGCTATGAGAACATCATGTCTCAACCTATTTATAATTTCAATCAACTAATTGATTTAAATAAATATAAAGATTAGCGAAACCTACCGCTTTTGTGGGCGATTATCAATAACGATATCTTCCTAACTGCTTCGTACTGCTGTTCTTTCAACTTTAATAATAAAGGAATACCGAATGGTTTTCCGTGCAGGATTGCGTGATCCATGCACGAGGGATGTTGCGAGACATTCGGAAAGCGTAAAAATACACGAGCCGTAGGCGAGTGTATTTTTACGCTTTCCGAAAGTCGAGCAACATCCCAAGTGCATGGATCATGCTATCCTGCACGGGAAAACCATTTGGTAATTGTTTTATAAAATTACTACAGTGAAACACGGTTAACAGAACTAGATCTAGTAACCGTGAGTGAAACGACGCTTAACTTGATTAAAATTACTGATGAAATGTGCAGTTCTCACAACATTCGTGAATTAACCAATCAGAGAATCGCTTCTCCACGCTATTGAAAACAACAACATATGTGAACAGAATTTGATCGCAAATTCGCGAAAGTATACAGCGAAAATACAGGGATTTTTTCGATAAAATATACGAAATTTGAAATGGAAAACCCGCTACACAGAGAGCCAAAATATTTTTCAAGATTCTCGACCTGAATATGTGAAGATTGCGAAGCGTTTGATCAACTTTGAAGCGAGAGACGTTGCACTTGCATAGAATGAATGATCAGGTGTTGCGGGTTTTTAACGGTTTTTATAAACAAATTTATAGTCAACCAAAACTATTTAAAAAACATTCTTAAATTAGTCAAATAAATACATTTTAACAATAAAATATAGTTGACATGATAGTGTAATACCTTTGCATTCTTTTAATTACTCCATGAGCTCATTTAGAGCGGTTGATGTAACATTTTCTGTGGCCTACATTGTGTGTGTTCATCTATATATAATATAACAGTAAAAGGCTAATCACTGGCGCCACGACCGCATCGCCTTCAAAGTCAAATATCTCCGCTCAAACTTCTCGTACGCCAAAACAAATTCGATTACATCTTTTCACAAAGATTTCTCTTTCTAAATAATATGGTTTGATCATAGTTTGGGCAAATTTAGCGACGAACGGAACCAAAATCTCCTCAAATTCGGATACTGTCCAAAATACTTAGGGCTGCTCGGGCACGATCGTGGACGTGACGTAATCAATACATACTGACAATAACGCCTTACCCCAGCCTAGACCTAGGCCTTCTAGTCTTATTTATATTTTTAATATTCAGCGCTTTTTCACAGGAAAAGACTGGGACTAGGTGATTTGGGGGCGTGGCGGAGGAAGCAAGCCTAGAAGGCCTAGTTGATTTCCCAACAACAAGGCCAAAACTGCCCTGAAA